TTCCGCGACACTTTCGTCGACACCTAATTCAATTAATTTCCATCGACGTCTCGTTTCATTTTCGCGCCCTCTTGAGCAGCGCTCGTCCGTCGCAAACACTTCAAGACGATCAAATAAAACCTTACGTGCCGCGGATGTTTATGCAAGCTGCGTAAACATTGATTCAGTCGATGAACACGCGAACGTATGAACGCTTTCGCGCGATGAAAGCCGCGGAACAACAAATTCCGCTAGGAGGATGAATTTCACGCGTTAATTAGTGTGCATAGAACGCTGCTTGGCGGTGGAACGGGATCAGCCGGCCGTCGGCGGGGGTGGGCCGGGGGGTGAAGGGCAAGGGTTTTAACCCTTTGCACTCGATTGGTGACTCTGAGGCACCGCTAAAATCTGTTATATCACGTTTTAAGATAATTGTTGCATTAACGAAGCTTACATTTAAAGAAATTGTTGAAAGTGCAACCATTAAGTTTATTGTAAGTCGGAAGACTGAATTTCGCACGCATAAAATGCATTTTGTCATATAAAATGAAAATAAATGGATGGTCAGAAAAATTATTATTTAGATTTACTATTGAAACAGCTTCGAGTGCAAAGGGTTAACCGTTTGCGTACCAGATGGTTCTGAAAAAACAGGATCGAGAAGCGCCGAAGAGCGCAACAGCGCTCCTTCGATTATGTGTCGAAAAAAGCCGTAAAACATAAAATAAAACGTTATGATATATATATATATATATAATATATATATATATATAATAATAATAATATATATAATAATAATAATATATGATAATAATATATATTATATATATTATGTAATATATTTATTATACAATAATATTTATATATATATTATATTATATATTATATATATTATTATCATATATTATTATTATTATTATTATTATTATTATTATATATATTATAATATATTATATATTCTATAATATATAATATAATATATATATAAATATTATTCCATATATATTATATAATATTATTGTATGTATTGTAATAAATACATTACATAATATTATTATATTAATATATATTATGTTATATAAATATTAATATAAATATATATATATATATATATATATATATATATATATATATATATAT